ATATATATATATATATATATTAAATAGAACAATAAAACTTTAAAAATACAAACTTAATAAGTCCACTTTGCACATTTTCTATACCAACATCATTAGTGTGGTAGTGCTTAAATAGGGTTCGTGAGTCTCTTAAGCAGAGCAGGGAGACTCGCGTAATATCTATTGAGAGATGTGTCCTTAACCAATTTATAACTGCTTCGTACCTTTCACCATTCTTACGGACAGTTTATGTGCCAGTAGTATTGTGAAACATTTACATTCGTCTCCGAATCCACCATTATTACCAAAAATCAATGGGGTGAATACCGTGTTCAACTTCTAGAACTTGTTTTAAATATTCACGTTTTTTTGCTTTTACGTGTCTACGAACATCTGTCTTGTTGGTTATTTTAGGACTTGGAATTTTCGTGAGTTATTCTAACATAAAAAAATGCAGCTTCTACCTTCCTCAAAAATCCTTTTGCTTTCAATTCCAATCTAGCTTTGTCGCTTGTATTGCCAGTTTTGAGATGAATTTTTCATTTGTCAAAGGAATTAAATGCAGCTCTGCTAGAACATCAGTACAAACTTTAGTTAGGCAAGCAATTAAAAAATCTATAATATTATGATGTCATAATATTATAACATCATAATATTATAGATTCAACATTCAAATAATATTATAGAGAAACCCCTTTTCATAATTTTTAATCTATCCCTAAAAAACGGCATTTTTCCCGACCAACTTAAATTAGCAAAAATAATTCCAATATACAAAAGCGGCGACGACTCAATAATATCTAACTATAGACCGATTTCCATACTTTCCTGTTTTTCCAAAATATTAGAGCGTATTATGTTCAACAGGCTGTACAATTATCTTGAAAAAAATAATATTCTTTATCATAAACAGTTTGGTTTTCGAAAAAACCATTCTACGGAACATGCCGTAATTGATCTTGCGAACCAAATTTTACAAGGTTTTGAAAACAATTGTTACACACTTGGAATTTTTCTAGATCTATCAAAGGCATTTGATACTGTAAACCACAAGATTCTTATCTACAAACTACGTAGTTACGGAGTAGTTCACTCTAATTTAAAGTGGCTTCAATGTTATTTAGAAAACCGTAAACAAGGTGTACCAAATGATCTAACATGCTCCCCATTTGAATCAATAAGTTGCGGAGTTCCACAAGGATCAATACTTGGACCTTTATTGTTTTTAGTTTATATCAATGATATTTTTTTGTCTTCAAAAATACTTAATTATACTATTTTTGCTGATGACACTAATGTTTTCTTTTCTGACTCAAATTTAAAAAATATTTTTTATTATGTAAACGCTGAACTAATATATCTTAATGAGTGGTTTATAGCAAATAAACTATCATTAAATATTGAAAAAACTAAATATATTTTGTTTGCTAAACCATCTCAATCCGAGAACCTTCCACTTAAACTTCCAGAACTAACAATTAACAATATTAAAATAAAAAGAGTTTTTTCAATGAAAATACTAGGAATAAATTTCGATGAACATTTAAATTGGAAAAGCCAAATAAAGTTAGTCGAGAACAAAGTTTCAAAGACTGTGGGGATTATGTACAGGACAAAACATCTTTTGAATAAAATATGTTTAAAAAACTTATACTTTTCATTTATACATAGTCATATTAACTATTGTAATATTGCCTGGGCAAACAATCATTCATCTTTCCTAAAAAATATTTATACTAAACAAAAGCAAGCAAGTCGATTAGTTTTGGGCGCAGATAGGTACGAAAGTGCCAAGCCGTTACTCAAGGAAATTAATGCGCTAAACGTATACGAACTAAATATATACCATAACTTGTTATTTATGTTTAAACTTCAAAATGAACTAATTCCAAAATATTTTTATAAAGGTTTCTCTCTAATTAACCATAAATATGAAACAAGACACTCAATAAATAATTACTACATCCCACCAACATCACTCAAAAAATCTGACTTCTCAATTACATGTCGGGGTCCACGCTTGTGGAAGTCAGTTCTTGACGAAAATATGAAAAAAATAAAATCTATTGATATATTCAAAAGAACTATAAAAAAACACTTACTAAACTCAAACATTACATACATTCTTTCATTTTTTTAAAAATAATATTTTTTTGATAAATTTGATAAAAAGCTTTTTTTTTTTTTTTTTTTTTATATATATATATATACATATATATCTTTCTTGTTTGATTTTCTCTTTGACTGTTTTTTTTTAACTTTTTTTAATAAATACTAACAAATGAATTTAAATCTACATAACGTTTGGAATCTTTTTAATATATAAATATTTTTGAATATATACTTCGCTTTGTATTGAATATGTATACGTATATGTACTGATTTGTAAAAAAAAATTCAAACTTTTTAATTTACGCATTGTATACATTTTTATTTTTTTATTTCGAGATTTTATTATTATTATTATTATTTTTTTTTCTTTCTAATTTTTACTTTTTTTAATTTTTAATTTATTTTAAACTTTTTAATTTTTTTCAATCTTTTTACTTTATTTCAAACTCTTTAAATTTTTTTATTTTTATTTTAATTTTGTTTGAATGTTTGTTTATTTTTTCAAAATTTTTAATTTAACTCTTTTTTATATTATTGGAATTTTAGAAATTTTATATTTCTCTATTTCACAAAAGGGCTTGATGATAAGACTTTATGTCTTCTACTTGCCCCTGTCAGCTTGTAATTATATATATATTTATTCGAATTTAAAGATAACATTGTAAAATGTGTAAAACGACAAAATAAACTAACTAACATAACATATTATAGATTCAACATTCATCATAATATTATAGATTTAAAGAACTTTTTTGTCCGCAAACTTATCTAAAACAAACAAACAGAAAAAATTGTCCTCGTTTTCCAACATTTGCCGACTGCCAACTTGAAATCCAATTTTGCCGACTACAGTATCCCCGACTACAGTATCCCCAAACACACAGGGCCGTCCCTCTC